GCGAACCGGGGCCCCCGCCAGCCGAGTCGCAATCCACATCCCCGACGGGCGGCTGGGGGGCGGGGGGCACCCCGAGGGGCCAGGCGTGGGCGGGGCGCGGGGCCCTTCCGCCCACCCATCGGGAGTCCGGTCTGCCTCCCGCGGCCCCGAGGTGTTTATTCGCCCCCTGCTATGTGCTAGCCCCTCACCAGGCTGCTCACACAGCGCCCACCGCGCTGGCCTCTGCCTCTGCTGCCCAGCCAGGAGGAGTGTGCAGATAAAGGGGTGTCAAAGGGAGGCGGTGAACGCAGCCTGAGGGGGCGCGGGGGCCCTGGGGAGCTGCGGAGCGCTGCAATACCTGGGCCCACCTGGAGTTACTGCGCAGAGTGGGCAATGTGCGCTCCTGGAGATCCCGGCCTGCTCTCGGCGTCTGGGCAGAGGGAGGCGGCGAGGGCCTTCCCGAGGGCCCTGCTCCCTCTTACCTCTGCCCTAGCCCTCATCTCCTGCTCCCACTTTATCCCGGTCTGCACCAGGTCACGGTCTGGTGGCCACTGTAATCTTGTGCTGCACCCCCGGTGGGTGTGTCCCGCACCACACCCCCAGCTAGCACGGTGGGACCCACTTTGCAGGAAGGAGCTAGGATCCACTTGGGGAACTGCTCTGCCGGCATGTCCTCAGGGGGGCCCTGACTCCCCAGGACCATTCCCTGTCAGGCAAGGGGGGTCTCTCAGGCTCTCCCCGTATAGGAGCTAACAGACAGCTTGGGTTAGATGTTTTCACTCTGGATGGGCTTTCCAGGAGGCAAAGCAGAAAGGTCCTGGAAGGGCCTGCGCGGGATCCTCTCCTGGCTGGGGTGCGGTGGGGTGTTGGCCTTGTGCCAGACTGTGCAGCCGGAAGCTCAGATAGGCACCCTGATAGCACCCTACTTTCCTGCCCCTTCCTCCTCATGCCACCTCTGCCTGCCTTCCCTGCCCTGAGCCCTGCCCTGGGGTTTCTGCAGGCGCGGGGTGAAGTTCAGCTGCCTTTTTTCTGTGCTCATCCTTTCTCTCCCGCAGCATTGCATGTCACTGCACTAAGCAACGCTTTAGTGTGTTTCTAGGAGAGAGAAACACCCCCAACTCACAGGTCAGGAAGCCCATCTAGCAGGCCCACAGACTCCAGCACTCTGGGGGTGGGGAGGTGGGGGGGTTCCCTTGCCACCTGCGGAGGGAAGCCCCGCCCCACCCCCTGGGGTTTCAGTCTCTCAGCCACTCGGGGCTCACTGCGTTGCAGCTGCAGGCAGAGGTGACCAGATCTCTGCAGAAGGTTCCAGTGCTGTAGCTCTGAGACCCGAGGCCGGTAGGTCAACCCGGGAGGAAGCCAGAGTTCGGGCTGCTGATGCCAGCTGAGGATCTGCCCAGGGGCCCAATCAGAGGGCGTCTCAGTTCTGGTCCTGTCTAAGCCTCATCCTCTGTGGGTATCTGCTGACGGGCAGCTTCGTCCTGCCCCGGGGCACAGCAGCCTGTTGCAGCAGCAGGCCTGGAGGAGGGCCCTTGTACAGGGTCTTTCCCACCGGTGTGAGAAGCACGGTTATCCCTGTGCAAGCCTTGAACAGAGCAGATGCCTTAAGCATAGGTAATATGAGTTTAAGCAAACTTCAATGTTGTGTACTTATAAGCTACAAGGTAAAAAAAAAAATTAAATCCAGGATTCATTTCAGTTGAATAATCCTCCCAGTGGACTGAACCAGAAATTATTATCATTATTTTTAAAGATATATTTATTGATGCATATAAGAACTGGGGCACAGGCCAGAGGTGTGGGGGGGTGAGAGGATTCACCAGAGACAGAGTGGGGAGCAGAGCAGGCAGATCGATGAAGTACACTGCCGAGGGGAGCAGAGGGGGGACCAGAGGGGTCTGCTGCGCCCTGTGGGTCACCCCCTGGCCAGGGATCGAACAGTGACTGCAAAGAGCTTCACAGTGCTGCGCTCTGACCCCTTGCGCCACCAGGGAGGGCCCTGAACAAGATATTATGACTTTCCCTGCGAGTCTGAGTGGCACTATCATTTTCTGTTTGAGGTAAGGTTCTAGACTTTCCCCCTCTCTCTTCCTTTTGCTCTAAAATGAGATTTTAACTGTATGTACTTGTTTGTCCTAAGAAATAACCTCAATGAGATGCAGGCTTGCCCCTGGGAATGCAGTCGGCAAAGGAGAGTTGATTTTATACCCTTTGATGCTGCTTCGTTATCTTTTTAAGCATGCACACATATTGTTACATCGAAAACCTTCATTTTTGGTGTTTAAGGCATATTCTGAGTTGAATCCTAGAAAAGGGGGGAAAAAACACAGGTGGGAAAACGTGTGCTACCTGAATTTTAAAAAAATCATTGAAACAGAGGGTGCAATTTAATGCGTCTGCAAGTGGGTTGGGAGGTTCCGCAGTTCTCATGGGACGTCCCTTGACGGGGGTTAGGAAGATGGAAGCACCCACAGGTCGAGGCTCTGCCTTGTACATTCACTCAACGTTAAAGTTATTTTCTGTTTGTTTTGTTTGACAGACACCTGTAAAACCACGAGTGTTTTCATTACATCTGGGTTCTAGATTCCTTAGGCAATTATTCCTGCTGAACACACAGTGAATATTTAATTCTTCCTCACCAATATCCCTAGTTGGCAACACCTTAAAAAATCATTATTGCAAGTAAAAATCAAAATCACCAGGCAAGTAGAGATCAGAGACTTACTCTGCAGGGGAGGAGGAGGGGGAAGGCCAGGACAGGACGGGGGTGTTTGGGGGGGTGGGGGAGTGGTAATAGGTTTGCTGAGTGAGAAAGAGCCAGAGTCAAAGAAGGAAGTTTATTGCTCTCGGCCAGTACCGCACACCTGTACGCAGGTGCTGCCCGGAGCTGGCCAGAGGCCGCTTTTTATACAGCTGTGGCCCACCTTAGTGGGGCCCTTGGCCTGCTTAGAGTTGCTTTTCTTCTTATTTTCCTGCTACTGACTTTCGGGCCCTTCTTCCTGCTGTCACCAGGTGATGCTTCTTCGCTGGATAGGTTTCCGGTCTTTAAGTTTCAGTCCTGGGGTGGCCCTAAATTCCTCCTGGGCTTCCCTGGACCTAACAGTGGGGAGAGCACCGGGACTCAGGTGATGGTGGGGGTGCGGGGGTTCATGGGAAACCCCACATTGCTCAAAAACGAAGGTAATGATGAGGTAATGAATATATTAAGTGACTAAATAATAATTACTGCAAATTATTTTCTCAACATAGATGATCTGTGCAATGCAAAGACATTTTCAGGAGGCATGAGAAGTACTTTGTCCTCCCGAGGCCCATCAGTTTACCAGCGCCAGAGCAGCCAGCCCAGGCTGAGCTAGCTGAAGTTAGCGCTGACTCCAGGCTGAGGGCCCCTTGTGCTCTGGGCTCCCTCCCCGCCTGGGTTTGCTAAGAGCAGTGGGTGCACTGGACAGAGACTGGAGGGCTCCGTGACCTGGGCCTTCCTGTCCAGGGCAGCCTGGCTGGGAGAAGCCTAGCAAAGCAATGCACTTTTCAAAGGTCCCTGGAGCAGCGGCTGGGACCCTGCGGGTTTCTGCCCCTCCTCCTTTCCCACGCAGTGACCCTGGACTCCCCCAGATCCAGCGGCCTTTCCTCTCCTCGCCAAGTGCTAAGTACTCTCTTCCCCGGCTCTCTTTGTTGTTCAGGGCAGGCTCTGGAGCTGCCTGAAGCCCTGGCTTGGGAGCCATGGGGGTGGGGGGTGTTTATTGAAGAGGAACCCGGAAAAGGCAGGGGGGGAGTCGATGCCCCCCCTTCCACCTTGAGATCCACAGAGCTGTCTGCTCTTTGATTCTGACTGCTTTGATTTCCTCTCCACGGACTGAGCTGCCATCTTCGCAGCGAAGTTGAGTTCAGGAAAGCAGAGAGGCGACACCCCCAAAGGCACTGATATGCCAGGAAATGCTGTAAAAAAAAATCTCCTTGTGGCTCAGTGGACCCCACGTAAGTTCCAGTCGCAAAGGCAAAGTGGGCTTCCCCCGCCATGAACTAAGCTGTTGAACCCACCCTGCCGCCTTTTTGAAAGGATGACGGCTTGCTTCTCCGGGTTACCCACAGCAGCGGTCGGAGCAGGAAGGGCTCCCCTGAAAGTCTCAGGGCCCTGCTCCCTTGCTCACTAGTAAAGTGAAAAGAGCATTTCAATCTCAAAGAATCCCGCTTCCAGCTGGAACTACTGGCAGGGTATTTCGCCCTCAGAGCTGACATTTCTTTCTGTGAAAATAGGAATTTGAAATGGGCTAGAGTGACCAAGGAGGCACATGTTTTTTCCACTTTGACAATTTCCCTGTGACTGGCCCGTGTGGATAGTAAAGCCGCTAGCTCTCACCTCCTCACATATGGATGGAAAATCACGCACCAGACTTAATGCCTGACTCTCATTTTTACTATTTAAACAGAACTCTGGATCACCCGTGTGTGTGTGGTTGGGGAAACTTTCTGTTTGCTTGTCTAAATAAAAGGTTCCACTAAAAATGAAGGAAAAATGTTCACCTCATCTTCGTGTGGGC